AAGCTTCTGTAAAGCCAAAGAAACCATCAAGAGAGCAGGGAGACAGCCCACAGACTGGGAAAAAGTATTTGCCAACTCCAGGTCTGACAACTGCTTAACATCTTGGATCTACAAGGAACTCAAATGTGCTAAAGAAAAAAACAAACAACCCCATTATAAAATGGGCAAAAGATATGAACAGACACGTCTCAAAGGAAGACATCCGAGCAGCCAACAGACACATGAAGAAATGTTCAACCTCACTAATCATCAAGGAGATGCAAATCAAAACCACACTGAGATACCACCTAACTCCAGTCAGAATGACCATTATCAATAACTCAAAAAACAACAGTTGCTGGAGAGGGTGTGGGGAAAAGGGAACACTTCTACACTGTTTTTGGGCGTGCAATCTAGTGCAACCTCTGTGGAAAGCAGTGTGGTGCTTCCTAAAAGCTCTAAATATCAACCTCCCATATGACCCTGCAATTCCTCCACTGGGAATATACCCTGAAGAACTCAAATCACTCTATCAAAAAGATACCTGCACACGCATGTTTATTGCAGCATTGTTCACAATAGCAAGAACCTGGAACCAACCATCCTGTGCATCAAAAGAGGATTGAATTTAAAAAATGTGGTACATATACACAATGGAATACTATGCAGCCATAAAAAAGAACAAAATCATGAATTTCGCAACCTGGATGGAACTAGAGTCTATAATATTGAGTAATCTCTCACAGAAACAAAGATCTGAGTATCACATGTTCTCATTCATATATTGGACCTCGAACATCTACCATAATACTATAAACAAGGACTGACAGTGGTGGGAAACTATCAGGGGGTAGGGAGGGGAAGGGAGGTGGGACTAACGGTAGTCAATATCTGTCTGGGGATGGGGAGACACCCCTTATTAACATGGGTGCCTGAACGATGCACATTTGTATACCTAACCCTTAACTGTACCCAACAATTTTATAATAAAAAATGTTTAAAAATAAAATGAAATAAAAATAACACTATAGTATGCAAATGTATTCATGGCTGCCTCTAATTGCTTATATAATTTTTATGATTATATGAATACAATTTTATTTTGGTAAATGATGTATTGTCTACATAACCTATGGCCATCACAATGTGATTTTAATCTGTTACTAATAAACATTACTACCATATCCTTGTTATGCATTGATATCACCTAACCTTTAAATACTAGATGCTCCCCCACTTTATCTCATGATCATCTGTCTTATAACGGACCTCAAATGGAGGGGCAGGGATTTAAAACCAGGTCTTCTGATTTCAAAGTCAGTATCCTTTCATTTAAAGTCACTAAAATCTATGGTTAAATAATCTTACAGAAAGCATGATGTGTGAAACAGAAGAGTAATACTGTCCAAGTTTCTACTAAAATGGGATTCAAATCCAAAAGCTTACTTGTTGGTGCCTCTGTTTATCTGTTCATTCATTTATTGAGCCATTAAGGATTTATTAAGAGGTGCGGTGGGAACACAGCTATGCAAGACAAACAAGATGCCTCCCCTCATAGCACTTAAATTCTAATGGGGAAAACAACTATACATAGCAAACTAAATAAAATAATAAATACTGGTAATATATAACTGGGTATTTTCACTACTGCTCAGTTAAAGAGTCTTGTAGCTCACTTTATAATATGAAAACACCAAGGTCTAAGAGCTACTTAAGCTCTAATACCAAATATACCCTTATAAAATACCAAACTGAGTTAAATACCTTATTAGATATATGCACACTTTACATATGAACATAATCTAAACATATATATATATACATATTATCTGTACAGAAAAACCACATTCAATGAAAGATATATTGCTTCCTAAAGTCCTCTCTGAGGTACAATAGAAGCTAAAATAATTGCTTCTTTTTTCAACTCTATCTAGCACATATTTTCTATGATGGGATACAGGTTTTCAAGTGCCAATGTGCAAACTGTAATAATAAGCACTACTGCTTTAATGTCTTATAGGAACTGAGGTTACATTAACTGTTATAGTTGCTGAGCTGCATTTATGCCAGGTCTGAACTATAAACAATTATGTATATATGAACTTTTGGGTCTTTTTAAGCCTAAAGAGGAATTGTGGTTCATGCCAAGTTAATGTTTTATCAGCAAAAGTCTGTTTCGCAAAACAGAAATGCTGTAGGCAATATTTAAACATGCAAATAGACATTTACTTCACATGTAACAGGATTGTCTCATTTACTTCACATATAACAGGATTGTCTCATACCTGGATGTTAGTTTACCATGAATAATTTGGTGAGATCATTTAATAGAGCAGTTTAAAATAAACATCTTTCCTTAGAAAAATACCAGGCTTAATTTTAAAAGCTTTATCTTTACAGAAATCATGTATCAATCTATATTTAGAATAATGATGCTAGAAAAAACCTAGGGATTAAGAAGAGGGTTTATGAAGTTTATTAAAGTGAAGATTTAGCAGCACCCAAGATTAATGGAACATGCAGCTCACAGTCTTGTGAATTTGGAAATTTGTTGGCTATCCAGTTGTTGTTTTTTTCTGTTAATAATAAACTCTGATCCAGAAAGCCTCCTGTCTTCTCTCAGAATATATATGTAAAACAATGGCTGGCTAATTTGTTAGCTTGCAACAAATTAGCAACCACTCAGACCCTTCACACTTTCTGACTTTACAATGTACAAAACAATCTCAACAATTAATCATTATCTGAGAGCTTCTTTTATACAAAGTTGACTAAAATTAGGTAAATTACTATAACATTTTTGAGCATTAAAAATACAATAGCCTTTTATTTTATTGTACAGAAAAAAACCATCAATGTATGAACAAGTCATGAATTTCCATTCACAAAGATCCTTTCAAATTATTTTTATCAAGAATTATCAGGAATGTGCATAAACAGGATAAGTCAAAATTCAACATTTACTGTGTATATACTATCTGCATATAATAATACATTGTCAATATAGGAAAAAGTGGGCAATGTGAGAAAATTATTGTATTAAAGGACATAAGAGTTCGCAATCTATTGGAAGAGATTAATCATTAAATAACTGATATGAGTTGGTAAAAAAATTAAAGATACAATATGAGCTAAGAGAATTCATTTATGAAAATCAATTGATATGAGGAATCAATTATTAGAAAACAATTTTGAAAAAGGTGATGAAATCACTGGAGGAAGAGAAAGAATCTAGTTGAAACGAGGCTGGGACTGACACTGAACACCCAGAATATAGGGGGAAAGTAGACAACTTCATTCCTGCCACAGTGTAAGGCACCTCATTCAACACTTGGGGCTTTGCTAAAAGATGATTTTTTTCCCCTTAAATTCGCATATGCTATTAATCTTCTGAAGCTCCCATCAAAAACTAGTCATTCCAATAGTTGTTTTCACACACTATGGAAGTGATTAAAATAAAAATGCTTAAGATAGATTTAAGTTTCCGAGTTTTGCTAGAAAAGATTTAGCATTTTAAGGTAATAAACAACAGAGATTTGATTGTGAAGACTTTTATTAAATTATAGCATATTACAGTTTATATCTTAACAATAAGCTTTTCATCTTTAGGCTAATATGATATAAAAACCTGGCCACATTACTTCTTGAGTTTCTTTTGGGCAGCTTTCTTCTTGACCATCTGTAATCGCTTCATAGCATTGAGCTGTGATTCTTGTGAAGTTGGACCTTTAAGGGATGCTGAGGGAGAGCTGCTGGATTCTGAAGTGGTTTTGCTGGTAGTGTTTCCACTAGGTCCTGGTGTCCCACTGTTTCCATTCCCACTTAGTTGGCTGCCACTTCCTGGAACTAAACTACTCGGACTAGGAAGACCTACTTTGCTGACATTGTCACAACTAACTGAGCGACAAAGGCCAGTTTTGCCCAAGGTTAGAGGTGGAGGTGGTTTCAGTGGTACAGCGGGTGTAGTGCTGTTATTGGAACCTATTTTGGAACCTATTCCACCTTTAGATGATGTTGCCAGTCCAGTCAAACCCACAGGCTTCTGGTTAGCTGATGAGGTGGCAGGTTTCCCGGAATTGTTTTGTGTTGTTGAACTCAATTTTGCTGTTGAGGGACCAGCAGAGGAAGTTTTGGCTGCAAAAGCTGCCCATCCAGTCAAGCCACTAGTTACTGAAGAGGAAACACTGGTACTAGAAGAATTTCCTGAAATAACCGTGGATGTCTAAAAAATAAGGTAAATATTACATTAGAGCCAAGTATAATCAACACTTATATAATGTCCTTGAATATATAAGAAGTTTGTTAGATTTTTTTATACCAAAAGAATGGCTTGGAAAATTTAAATCACACCACCAAATTAAGTTCCTATGAAGCTGATCTGAAAAGTCACATGGAACAAAATTTACTCATTTCCAAAATAGAAATTTTTGGATGTTATAGTCTAGCACCAATGATCAAAAGAATATACATGAAATTCCTTTTCAGGAATTGTTTTGCTTCAGTTATAAGTCATATCACAAAATCAGACTTAGTGTCTTAATCTTTTTTGTTCCACCCAAAAAGTATTATCTAGTCCAAGAAAATATTCACTTTAGAATTTGTTCCAAGTGATAGTGAATTGTTTCAAAAGTTGAATCCACTCTTAATAGACAAAAATGCATGCATTCAAGATATTCAGGAGATATCTGAGATGAAGAAAGTCATTTAATAATTATTTACTAAGTGTGTGAGAGAAAGAAAACAGTTTTTTATGGATCCTAAACCCATTTTTTAAAAGATGTTCTCCCAAAGTTTGAGCAATAGCTACAAGTACTTCAAAATATATACAGATGTTCACAGTTACTCAGAAGTGTACAATTCACAATATATTAAGGTCTCATGATTTTAGTTTCATAATTTGTCTGTGCTTCCAGTGAAACTATCACACAGATTCCTGCTTCCATAAAAAGTTTCTTCAATTGCCTCAGAGGCTGCACCATGACATTCTGGGTGTGACTGACTCACTCCCTGACGTATTTCTTAAGGGTAAAACACTTCAACTTCTCTGATTAACTTCCTTGGCTAATCAGAAGTTCAGTGATACCAATGCCACTATATAAATGCATATCATGCTTATTTACATGACAGCAAATTTTTTCACATTTACATTAGGCACAAATGTAATCTGTTCAAATTAATTTTGCATGTACACTTTTTCTACCTTATAATCTTAAGAAGATTCACAAAAGTGTTAAGTTCACATATAGGTAAAAGGTAAAGTCTTACAAAATAATAATATCTTTTCAAATGGTAGCTATTATGCCTAAAAAAATCCAGTTAGATTTTAGAATAGGATTTTGAAAGAGATGATTAAAGCACTTTTAGCACTTACAAGGTAGCATTCAACATTGTCTGCATGTAAATATTTTTAGCCAAAAAGAAAAGTAATCCAAATACAGAGCTCTGAGATCTTTTTTATAAGAGGAGGAATCCAGACATTTGTTCTCATACTCAGAAAAATCAATAGAATTTTTAATAATAATATCATATATCCATCTCACGTTATCCAGAGAAGAAAAATTTTAGATATACCATAAATTTCTAGAGAAATGCACACCACCAATGATAGAAAAAGTCAAGAAAGTAAGAGAACATAGGTGTAGTAAGCTTTTAATTTTCAGTTACAAAAGATCTAATTTTCTTTTTCTTTTTATTAAACATAAAACTGTCTGTCAAATGGCTAACTGATCTTTCAACAAACTTCACAAAAGAAAACCCATCTGAAGTAATTAAAAAAACCAACACTTAAAAAGTACAACCAAGAAAGTAAGTTCTATGTGTTTGGCATCTTATTTTAATGGTTTACTGTTACTTGGTATTACTTTTCAATAGCATGACAGATGATGGTTTTATAATGCTATCAGGACACATAGAAGTAAAATAACACAAACAATGGAGGCCAAGTAATTTCTTACTATTTCTGGGTAGAAAACAAAATCTTCAAGTGTTTTCAACTATAACACTTTCTTGCCCACTATCCTAGTTAGAAAAGGCATTTGTCTTTGATATATGAATGAAACTTTTTTTCAAAGTATAAATGTTTTTACTGTTTTTACCCTTTTATCAAAAAAACACCAAAACCTCTTTATCAAAACAAACATGACAGAGAAGGCCTTAACTGATTTTGCCCTAAAATGATTTCATGTCAAATTTCCTAAAAATAAACTTTAGTACAACAGACTAGTATAAAAATCTCCCAAAAAGTGATTAAGTGTAGAATATAGCACCTCTAATTACTTTCAATTAATTATTCTTACTTCTATTCCAATTTATCAAGTTCCCATATGACAAATCGATAATGAATATCCCTTGAATAGTAACTCCTCCCTGGTAAATTAAAATAAAAAATGATCTGCAAAATAATTATCAATATTTTTCAGAGTACTTTATATTCATATTCTTTTCCATTATACCAAAGTTCTTGAGCTTGCTACTTATACTTATGGGACAAGGTCATCTCTTTGAAATTTTCTGAGATCAATCTTTGAAAACTTGAGATTTTCTTCTTTCTTTACTGTTATGCTTACAATTGAAATGTGTAACTCAGTAAAAGTATTATTTTTGTTATAAAATTAGATTAGAAAATTATTTTATTCCATAATATCAAAATGTCAAGATATTAATAATAAAGTACTGTGATTTCAAGGATGTAAATCTAGAAATGACAAGGTGAAAATCTAGAAATGACAAATCACCAGATAATGTAGTCCTTTAGTATAAAAGATAGATACCATTAAAGTTCATGATAATAAAGAAAAAACAAAATGAAACAAAGAAAGAAAACTTCCTCAAACTTCCTCAGCCTGCAATCCCGCGCTTTGGGAAGCTGAGGTGAGTGGATTGCCTGAGCCTGCGGGTTTGAGACCCGCCTGGGCAACTTGGCGAGACCTCATCTCCACAACAAATCAAAATTAGCTGGGCGTGATAGTGTGCGCCTGTAGTTCCAGCAACTTGGAAGGCTGAGGTGGAAGGATCGCTGGAGCCCAGCAGGTCAAGGCTGGGCGACAGAGTGAGACTCCAACTCAAAAAAAAAAAAGAAAGAAAACTTCTTAAGCAATCAATAAGTAGGGAGAAAAAAAAATATGAGGCCAATCAGCTCAAGTAGCGTGGGGAGCAAAATTATAGGTACTCAGTACAGAGGTGTTTTGAATTTAAACCAAATTCCTGATTGGAGATACCTAAACAGACAAGAATGGTAAAGAATGTCACTTTGGAATGATCATATACTGTTGCTATTTGTTATTAAAAAAAAAACAAACAACCAGTAGAGTTAGAGACTAAATAATGATATAAATGTTCCTTTTATACCTAATAAAATTGTAAGGCAGTCTTAATTTCCAATGTAGTCATTTAGCACACAAAATGTCTCATTAAACTTTTTATCAAGCAAATATTATTTAGTTAACTAAACTGAGATACAATCTTAGGTAAAAATGGAATCTACTATACCTTGACTTCTGTTCTCTTAAATGCTAGAAAAGTTGCTTCTTGCTTGAGTTTAGTTTCTGGTTTCTTAACCAATGGATCTTTGACAACTGGAGCCACAGAAACAACTGTAGGGGCTGGTTTTTGTGGTGGTTTCTGAGTTTTTTGAGCCTGCAAAAATCAATGTATTAAGTTAGATAGAAAATCTTAATTAAATATACAAAATAATAATCTATCACAGAAATTATCATTAAACTGAAATACAGCTGAATATAGAAAAACATTATGTGATAATAATGAACACATAGGTTCTTACAACTTATTTTTATCATTATCATATTAATGATTTTACAGATTTAGTTTTTTGGTTTGTTTGTTTTTGCGTTGGAGTCTCACTCTGTCGCCCAGACTGGAGTGCAGTGGCCGCTCCCGGCCACCGCAGCCTCAACCAGCTGGGCTACGGCGACCCTTCCGCCTCAGCCTTCCAAGTAGCCGGAATTACAGGCATGCGCTACCAGACCCGGCTGATTTTTTGATTTATTGTAGAGATGAGGTCTCGCTGCCCAGGTGGGTTTCGAACCCACGGGCTCAGGCAATCCACTCACCTCAGCCTCCCAAAGGCGCGGGATTACAGGCTGAGCCACGGAGCCTGGCCCAGATTTAGTTTTAAACAGTAAAGATAATATTAAGCTTTAGAAAGTATGCAGAATAAGGTTTGATTAAATAAAATTTTAACAAGACAAACAAAATTGTTTTGCTAAAAAGGAAAATCACAAACTATATGTAACCTATTAGATTTTACTCATCATGAAGTATATGTATCTCTCACTACAGTTGGTCAAAGACTTAGGCGTTTTCTTCTTGGGATCAAGGAATAAGTTCTAGAGTTAGCAGGGGTGAGATAAAATGTAACTCAGATCATTTCTATGGTTTTTAATACAAAATGGGGAGAAAAAACTATTGATAAATGATGCAACTTTTTGAGTTTTTTTCATAATGCAAAACTAGGCATGCTAAATTCTTAGAGAAAATTCATAAACACAAATTTTTATGTTACCAAAGAATTTGCATTCATTGTTCCTTTATGTGCATTTTCAGTTTTATTTTGACCAATAATTGATTTTTTTCCTTTATTTCATAACTAGGCATTTTACTAAATTCTCCTATAAATGCTAATAATTTTTAGTTTATTTTGAGTGTTTTCCAGGTAGACAATCATAGCTATATAAACAATATGGTACAGTGTTTAAGAGCACAGTTTGGGGTCAGACAGAACTAGTTTCAAAACCCGGCTCAACTACCTTTCTAGCTATGTTACCTAAGGCAAACTATGTAAATCTCTAAAAGCCTCATTCTCTTCATGTGTTAAATGGTAATACCATCTATTTCAAAGGTACGTTATGAGGATAAATTATGATTATGTAAGAGTTTAGCTTAGCATAGTGTCTAACACATATTGAAGGCTGGCAATAATTGTTAACTGTTTATTCATCTACATTATTTATAAAGGAAAATCACACTGGATCCAGAACTCATCCATACAAGATGAGGAAAGGTGCTCCCAGCCAGTCATTCCATAGTTTTAAACAATCTTCATAAGTCCATATATTACTATGCTAGAGAATTTATTAATAACTTGTCCCATTTCTGGAAGCCTGAATTTGGACGATTTTATCCTTGTTCAGACCTTCACTCACGTGTAATCTTGTGCTATTGTTTGCCATACTATATAATCTTGGTCTTTAAACCTCAATTCAGACAGCCCCTCAGGTCACCTCCCACTGGGGGAGCTTTTCTATCTTCTCAATAAATACTACTTTCTTAAAAAAAAAAAAAAAAAAAACAACTCAATACATGCTACTCTTTACGTTACATACTTTCCACATCATTCATGTACTGACAAACATCACTCATAAAGCACCCTTCAGATCAAAAATCTTAAGGATGTGGAAGACTATCTGTGGTATAATAGCTCTTTCAAGCAAGAAAGGAGGGCCACCTTAACCTCTATTGTAAAACCATGTTATAAGAATGCAGCCCTCAAAGTAAATTAGAAACATATAGCTCTATAACCATGACTTTCAATCTTACACTGCCCTATAGTCTCATCTACCGTTCTAGAGGATAGACCAACTTAATTTGTATGCTTTAGCAGATAAAGACGTATTAAATGGAGCTCCAGAAAGGACTTCCTATTTTAAAAAATTATTAAACATATTTTTTATTTTAAAATTGTGAGGTACAGTTAAGGGTTAGGTATACAAATATGAATCGTTCAGGCACCCTTGTTGATAAGGGGTGTCCCCGTCCCCAGACAGATCTAGGAGATCATGTTTGGATCTTCTGCCTCTCTTATTTTACCCAGTCATCTTAAAAACTGAGTAAGAAACACCCAGAACCCTTTGTCCTTTGCTGGTAATACTAGTTTAGGGAACTAGGATAAAATCACTCATCCTGTGTTGTTCAACAAAGGTGCTCTAATTTTTCACTGAGAGACTGCTTTACACATTGCAGAATGTATAAAATTCCCCACTAAGGCTTTAATTGCTAGTCTGGCAGCCATAAAGAAAATCCCACATATTTCTAAATGCTACCAAGTAGGAGTGTGTTACTAGCTTAGATTAGGAACTGTTGCAATAAGTGATATGAGTCTCTTACCTTGAGTTGAGTCTCATTACCGAATAGAGGATAATAGAACCTAAGAATGACCTTAGACCCTGCCATACATTTTCACAACATTCTTAACTAGGTCTTCCTACAATAATATGTACTACAGAACCTACCCAATTTGGAGAAATTTATACAAAGGGAAAGGGGATATCAGATGCTATTTATAACATGTTTGTGATATATTAGGGCAACAACCAATGAACATATGAGAATCTCACTCAAAGTAATTATAGTTAGAATGGTTAGACTTAAAATCCCCATTGTTCCAAATTTCTTTCTCTCATCAAACCTTATGTTTACTGGATCCTGATCTTCAGGCTTGCATCAGGTCATGTCTTTTGATATTTTTTCACATCTACTCTTGGTATATTCTAGACCTGTTCTAATATTAGCCATGGCTGCCATTTGGTATTTTGATACTTGAACACGTGAACTGGACTGAATGTTAATTTCTGGTACTAATCTACATTTACTCCATTTTACTTATCTTACAGTAAGAACAAAAGAATGTAGAATGTGTCTTTTTTTTTTTTTTTTTTTTTTTTGAGTTGGAGTCTCACTCTGTCACCCAGACTGGAGTGCAGTGGCCGCTCCCGGCCACCACAGCCTCAACCTGCTGGGCTCCGGCGATCCTTCCGCCTCAGTCTTCCAAGTAGCTGGAACTACAGGCGTGTGCTACCACACCCAGCTAATTTTTTGATTTATTGTAGAGATGAAGTCTCACCAAGTTGCCCAGGTGGGTCTCGAACCTGCGGGCTCAGGCAATCCACTCACCTCAGCCTCCCAAAGCACGGGATTACAGGCTGAGCCACCGAGCCTGGCTTGAATGTGGTCTATTTCTAAGCTCTGCTCATGTGCTACATTAATGAATGAGACATGTTCTTATTGGTAAATGAACTAGACATTTAATTTGCAAAGCAGATTAAAACATAGTATCCCAGATGAAGAGAAGAAGCAGAATACATGGGAACATGAACGTTCACCACATATTCAGGGAATGCCACTGTCTGGCATTGCCAGAGTGTATAGGTGGATATGGTGAAGCAGTAGGAAAGAAGACTTCAAGGTAGGCTCGGGTCGGAAAGAGAGAGTCCATATATGTACCCAAAGGAGTATAACTTCATTACATAAGCAATTGAGGACCACTGGGCATATTAAGCACATAAAGTTAGACAAATATTTAGAAAAGTAATTCTAGTTGTTCTAATTATAGTGAGCAAAGTGGATTGAAGGGAAACAAAGACACCTCTTAAGGGGGTTTTACCACAGACAACTAGTGATGGATTGGTGGAATTGGATAATAAAAGAGAAATGAGCAGATCTGAGAGATATGTAATATACAGAATGAACAAATGTGGCAAACAAAATTATGAAATTATAAGAAACATCAAAGTTAATATTTTCTAGCTCAGATAATTGTGGGAAAAAACTAAGTGTAGAAGAGAACAATTTTAATTTTAAAGATATTGAACTTAAAGTACCTATAGGATATCCGGTTAACTATAGAAACTCAGAGATTTAGAACCATAAACCTAGATTTGGTAAAAACTAAGTCACAATAAATGGGGGATAGAAAACTTGGGGAAGAATAATGCTTACTTTAGTTATTAAGATAGTTAAAATGAAATAATAATAATAACAACAATAATGATAAACCTTTGGGATATACAAAAGAAAGATTATTGTCACAACTTGTTTCTTTTGACAACTGCCAATTCTTAGAGGCTTCTTATTAATGATCTGAAATATACTATATTGCTCTTCTGTAATAATTTTGGTTGAGGTCTTGGAGAGCTAGTTTAAATAATATGCTAAATAAAAATCAAATTAAGCAGGACAAATTTTAACTTGTTACAGAAATTTCCTGTTACAAATGAAAAGTACACATACCATTGAAATTTTACTTATTTTCACAGGAATAAATAAAAACATTTTTGATTTAAAAGTAAAATACATATCTTGAATTTTTACTTTTAACTATATACTTCTGACCTTTAAAAGATATATTTAGTCAGAAAAACTTATGTAGAAATTCATTTGATTAACAAACATGAGCACTCTTATCAAGAGTCTCTAATCTAAGGCAGAGGAAGAAAGATGTGGAAGGAGAAGGGACAAACAAGTCATTGAAGTAGACAACAACTTTTTTTAAAAATTGTGAAATTTATTTATTGTTTATCTACTTTATAAAGAATAAAAGCTAGAAAATGATTTGCTATAACAAACAAAAACATGTCTCACTATGATATTAAAGGCAGTGACGTTTGTGAACAGTAAGAAGATAAAGCACATTGGAAGAATGAGATAAATGGTCATTCAAAGAAAATGACAAGGAAAAATAAGAAAGAGAGATGCATATATAAAAAAAATGACTCTGTATACAATTTGTAAGTTTGGTAGTTTAAGCTCACTTGGAAATTTTCTATATTTCCTTACTACTCAGGAATTTTTTATATTTCCTTATCAGACTCAGTGAAGAGTGGGGCTGTATATCACACCACTTAACACAGTGCTTTGTAATATTTTTAAATGTTTATAGATACACTGACACACTAGTAAAAAAAATTTATAACGTGTGGGTCATCAATCTTGTTTCTTTATCTATATAGAATACACTAAAAGCTGAACAAAGAAAAGTGCATTATGACATGGTCTGATCTTTAGGCATAGAAATATAAATCACACATGTATACCATATATAAAAACATTTAAATAATCATCTTATATCTTTTTTTTAGTATCCTAAATGTTCAATTTTCTTTTGAAGGCACATATCAACAAAAATGTGACAAAAAAAAAAGATTCCTACCATTCTTTTCATTTGTCTGGTACATCGGGCACAATACCATACCAGACGAGGGTCATTGACTTCCTTGTCTGTCACCTGGGGTTTATGGCAATCTTGATGATAGAGATTATGGCACTCTTGGCATTCTACTAATTGATTCCCAGATGCCACCGTCATTTGCCTAAGAAAACATACCATTAAGCATTATACTTTCTTAAATGCAACAATTTAAAGTCACTTCAGAGTTGTTCTAGTAATGTTTGGTACATGAAAAAGGAAAAAATTCCAGAAAACCAAACAGCAAAATAACAAATTCCAATGTGCAGCTTGCATAAGCACTTCACTTCTTTTAAAGCTTATTCTCTACTACTGATAGATATATAAGGTACCTTAATTACATTTGGCTCCTTATTTCTCATTGTAATTTTTTTCCCCTCAGGAGAAACTAGACTTTGATTAGTCCTCCAATAGTCTCCTAACTTTTTTTTTATATGTCTACTAAATTCCTATACATGTTCTATCTTCTTCATTAATATGAGTTACCTAAAGGTGGGAACTGGACCTAATAGAATGCAGCAATATTTGTGTAAAAAAAGTAAAAATTCTAATAGCAAAAAAGCAATCACCATAACTTTAGATTACACAGCAAGTCCTCTCATGGAGGGGTACAATTACTAGTTCTCTTTCCATTATTACTTTACCATTTATTTATAAAATAATAACTTTGTTCATAGATAAAGACTGAAATTAACAAATATATGTGAAAACAATGAGGCGCTAACAAATTATCCTATTGAGAAGGACAATTTATTCCCTATAAGTTTCACAAAAGAGGATAGTCGTTTACTTAGTTCCAATGCACCTGAATTTCATAACATTTTTATGAAGAAAACAGTAACAAAGATGACAACAGTTTTTGTTATACTAGGCAATGAAAGCCATTAACAATTAAAAACTTAGCCTTTGGAACCAAAAAGTTTAAAATCTAGTTATTTATGATTTTTAAAATGTATCTCCTACTAAGTATAATTGTCTATGTTTTTATAATTATGCATCCATGCCTTAAAACACCACTCAGAATAACCTACATAATCCATTCCTTTCATTTTCAATATGCTTAGAAAAGACTTAACAGTAGTTTAGGAAAGTATATGTAATAATTTATTTTTATAAATGCTGTCAATAATTCAAAAAAGACAATACAGACTTGTTTAAAAGAAAGATGAAAATAACTGAGTTTACTGAACAGAGTCTCACTAAAGAATAATTCAATAATTACTTTACATGTAGAACCCAAGAATGCAGAAAATTTTACTATGACATATTAAAGCCATAGTCAGGAAGATAAACTATCTGACAATGTTAAATTGCTTTAGCCTACTTATCTCATTCACTACTAACAAATAATAAAAGCAAATTAGAAAACGCTCAACAATTGCTCTGATTTGGGGGATATTGGGGAGGGGTAGAAAGGGGTTGTTTGCTCTTTACAAAGAAACAGAAGAATCTACAACAAGGTACAACTTACCTACAAACAACACAGGCCAATCCCATCTCCATGGCAAAATCATCAGCACTAGTCTCCTCAAAACTGGACAGGTCAGCCATAGCTAAATCCTTACTGGTTTGAACAGTAATGGGAGAGGACCGTGTCTCTGGTTTCTCCAATCTAGGCTTCTTTGGAATATCTACTCCTTCAGTAATGTCTGATTTCATCTATATAAGGCACACATCAAAAAATGATAATGAAAGTAATATGGTAGAATAAACTTTAAATCACTGAGAGATGAATAAGGAGGGTAGAATGCAATAATTAAGTTCATTTTACAGATATTTTCACATAGGGACAGATGTGCACATTAAAGATCTGCAGAAGAATTACAACTAATTTATAATTAGTAAAACCCAGCAAGACAGAAACAAATAAATCATAACAGTTTAACATATATTTGTTATTTCTTTTTGTGCTCTTCCATCTATTAAAGAATTCTGGAAGTTCAGTAGATTTACTTATACTGTCGCCTACCAGTTACTCAGACTTAACACATTGCCATATTGCTTCAGAGCTAATTCTGGCTCCCCTCTTTAAATATAAATATTATTGATATACATGTTGGATTGACAAAAACTAAGTAGTCTGATAAGACATGGAGAATTTGGAATTCTTATACTGTACTGATGAGTATAAATTAGTACATCTAGTTTTTATAGTAATTTGACAATACTGGTAATGCTGAAGATCCTACATTAGGATGTTGGATGTAATAGGATGTCATGCCCTATTGCATCCACTTATAGATATACACCACATAGAAACTATTAACATATTCACAGTGATACATGTAAAGTAGTTCACTGAAGCTCCACTGTAACAGAAAAAAAGGAGAAATAACCTAACTACTCATCAGCAGGGGAATGAATAAGCTGGTTAACTTATAGAATGAATATTAGGTGATAGCTAAAGAAATCTAGATCTACATGCATCAACGTAGATAAATTTTAAAAGTTCATTGTTGAGTGTAGAAAACTAAGTTATCAAAGAATATAAATACACAATATGATGTCACTTATGTAAATTTTAAAGCAGAAAATAATATGATATAGTTTATGAATAGCCACTATTTAGTAAAAGTATGAAAACAAGGAATAACACACCCTACTTTGAGGGCAAGGGTTACTGAAATTTTTTTAAATGTATTTTTACTAATTACTAAAATCTTAATTACTATTTTCAAAAATCATCCAAAAATAGACAATCCAAGATTTATCTGTGGCCCTGTAAATGTGCATGCCATTCAGTAACAAAGTTGTTTAGTCATTTACAACTTTATCATTTCCACTCTATCTTTTCTTCTCAATAATTGTTCCATCCAAAATCTCTGAGTTATGGATTAAAATTTACACTTAAAATTGCTATACTCCCTAGGGCTGAAATATATAAAATTTCTAAGTTTTACTCATTTTTTTTTTTTTTTGAGTTGGAGTCTCACTCTGTCGCCCAGACTGGAGTGCAGTGGCCGCTCCCGGCCACCACAGCCTCGACCTGCTGGGATCCAGCGATCCTTCTGCCTCAGCCTTCCGAGTAGCTGGAATTACAGGCGTGCACTACCACGTCCGGCTGATTTTTTTATTTTATTGTAGAGATGAGGTCTCGCCTGCCCAGGCAGGTCTCGAACCCGCGGGCTCAGGCAATCCACTCACCTCAGCCTCCCAAAGGCGCGGGATTACAGGCTGAGCCACCGAGCCCAGCTAGTTTTACTCATTTTTTAAAAGTCAACATCTATAGCTAAAGTATATTTTCTGAGTTATTATTATTATTATTATTATATATGCTTATGAATATATAAAGATGTAGGCATAAACATTGTTTCTTTCTGCCTATGAAACCGATTTACTTTTTTTCTTTTAACTAGATTAAAATAAAATCTTACTTTATCAGCAGGTCTCTTTTCGGCTTCCTTCTTGATTTTTTCAGTTGTGAGAACCTTGACATTATTATTTCCAGATGGAAGATTGGATGACACTTTGGGCTCTTGCTTAATGGAAATAGTTTTTGTGCTTGAAATTTTGGGTGGCTCCACATCCTAAAAGATGAAATAAAAAAGGCACCAGCAATTAAGTGTTCGGGCTATCTAATCCATTGTATAAAAGAGTATAAATCTTAACAATTTTCTGTTAAAAATTAAGACATTATGCTATCACCAAGGTAATTTTTTTTAAAACAGCTTTATTGAGAAATAGTTGATGTACAAACTGTGCCTATATGACGTATGAAATTTCATAAGTTTTGACATATGTATATACCCATGACATCATCACTACAATCAATGTAATGAACATATCCATCATCACCTCAGATTTTCTCGTGGCCCTTTGTAATCACTCTCTTACAGTTATATACCCTAGAGAAACTATGTCCTCCATTCTCAAGCAACTGCCGATCTTTAACTATAAATTGGTTTGCATTTCCTATAAATTTATATAAATGGAATCATACAGTATGTGCTCTTTCTTGTCTGGCATCTTTTACTCAGCATATTTAGTTTGCAATTCGTCCAAGTTGTTGAGTATAGCAATAGTTCACTCCTTCTACCTACTGATGAGTATTGGAATTGTCTGCAATTTGTTTGTAAATAAAGCTGTTACAAACAATTATGCACAAGTCATTGTACAGACATACACTGTATTTTCACTTCTCTAGAATAAATGTCTAGGGGAAGAATGGATAGGTCATATGGTAAATGTATGCTTAATTTTTAAGTGTATGCTTAATTTTTAGGAAACTGTCACACTGAAAAGTAGCTATACTATTTTATATTTCCACCAGGAGGCTCCAGTTCCTTTTTATCCTCACCAACACTTGGTATAACTAGTCTTTTTAATTTTAGACTTTCTAATAAATATGTAGTAGTATCTTATTGTGGATTTAATTACATTTCCCTAATGACTAATGCTGTTGAGCATTCTTTCAAATGCTCATTTGCCATACATATATCTTCTTTGGTAAACTAGCTAATGCAATTTTTGCCATTAAAAAATTGAAGTTATTAGTTTTATTGTTGAGTTTAAAAAATTCTTCATGGATTCTGGGCACAAGGCCAAATATATAATTTACGAATATTTTATCTTAGTCTGTGGCTTGTATTTTCATTCTGTTTTAAACTTTAAATCTTTTTTCTTATAGTTCTGCTGATATAAATAACTTGTTATTTACTGTTATTACTAGTATACAAAGTTTATTCACATAGTAGATCCTTGGAATCTCCCCCCTCCCAAAAAAGGAGGACATTTCCTCCACCCCATTCTAAATAAAACTAGAGCAGCTGAGTGCAGTTTATTCTTTTATGATAACATTGATAACATATAAAAGTACAAAAATGTAGGGAATGATACATGTCAACTTCGGAATAGTGGTTGCCTCTGAGGAAGAAGAGAAGGGAAGGGATGGGCTTCAGACCTATTGGTAGCAGGGCTTGATCTATTATTGTGCTACTTGTTTAGACTGGGAGTTGGCAAACTGAGACCTATGAATAATTTTTGTTGTTGTTTTTTGTTTTTTTTTGAGTTGGAGTCTCACTCTGTCACCCAGACTGGAGTGCAGTGGCCGCTCCCGACCACCGCAGCCTCGACCTGCTGGGCTCCAGCGATTCTTCCACCTCAGCCTTCCGAGTAGCCAGAATTACAGGCATGCGCTACCACGCCCAGCTGATTTTTTTGATTTATTGTAGAGATGAGGTCTTGCTGCCCAGGCGGGTCTTGAACCCGCTGGCTCAGGCAATCCATTTACCTCAGCCTCCCAAAGGTGCGGGATTACAGGCTGAGCCACCGAGTCCGGCGAATAATTTTTTATAAATAGTTATACTGGGACACAGTCATACCCATTTATTTATTTAAGGGTACTTTCACACTATCATGGCAGAATAAAACAGATGCAACAGATACCGTCTAGCCTACAAAACCTAAAGTATTTACTACTTGACTCTTTATAGAAAGTTTCTTGACCACTGTTGTAGATTTAGTAGAGTGATGGAGAAAATGTTAATCATGCAGATTAAGCTTAAAAGTATATCATATGTGTAATAAAAAAAAATTGAGGACACAGTTATGCAGTATTTGAAAACTATTATCTAATCAGCAAAGAAGTTTCTCAAGTTGATGGAAGAGGTCTAACTTCATTATTTCACATTTTTCTTCCTCATTAATGTAAATGAATATCAACAAATATTCACGTTAGAATACACCTGGAGAGTAGGTAATGTTTACAAGCATACCACCATCTCCAGATGATTTTTATACATGCTAAAGTTGGAGAAACATTGGCATAAATCACTCTTCTCACACAATTCTAGTGATGGAATTATTGAGCTAAAGGCTAAAATTAAATGGACCTGTTCTTTTATTTTTTATTTTTACTTGTTAAATTAAATTTTATTTTATTATAGAGATGTGGGTACAAGTAAGGATTTAATTAAATTTTATTTTATTATAGAGATGTGGGTATACAAGTAGGCTGCATGCAGGTGAAGTTTGGGCCTCCAACTTGCCCTCACTCCCCCTGGTATAGAACCTGGTACCCTTTGTGTTGTTACGTGCACCTCCCTTTCTCCCCTAGCATCCGCCTTTCTCCCCTAGCGGTGCCCAGTGACTGCTGATCCCTTCCTTGTGCTAACATGGAACCTGAACTTCTAAAACACATAACAAAGTAGTTTCTCCAAATTGACCGAGAGAAGTATAAACTGCAGCTAGAAACCTGAACAGTAGGCTTTTTAATCACAACAAATTTTTCACATACTTTCGAAAATATGAATTTCCATTTTTAGAATCCTTATTTTTTTAAGTAATAATAGGATTTCCTATTTGGATAATACCAATACCCACAGCAGAATGAACTTGGTAGTATGTTTTATAGAGTTGTATTAATTTGACCAATCTGAACTCATTGAACCTACCCGAACAAGAATGGGTAGAAGAAATTAAGTCACAATAGTTCTACTAGTCAAAAGACAATAAGACTTGAGAAGACTAGAGTAAGTGTCAAAAGAAGGCTGGGGACAAAATGCAACTGCTTATTTGGGCACTGAGCCTGGGACTTGATCCTTTCTTAAGCTTCAGATTCGGATTAGATTTGAGCTAGTCATATAGTTCTATCTTCCACCTCTTAATTTGTCATCTAGGTCTACAAATCTGGGTGACTGAATTTCAGGGCTAGAGCTTAGATGAGTTTGAAAGAATGTCTTAGAGGTGTTAGAGAATATAATAAAATTTGTCATTCACTGAGAGCCTACTATGTCCCAGGTAGATACTATACTTGGTGACTTACATACTTTATTGCTTTTAATTTTTACAACTTTGTGAAGTCGTTTTTATTATCCTCATTTTACCAACAAACAGAGACTGGGTGAAATGAAATTACTATGTACCTCCATTTCCTTATGCAAAATGAAGAAGGTAAACAGTATCTCTTTTTTTTTTTTCCGAGTTGGAGTCTCACTCTGTCGCCCAGACTGGAGTGCAGTGGCCGCTCCTGGCCACCACAGCCTCGACCTGCTGGGCTCTGGCGATCCTTCCGCCTCAGCCTTCCAAGTAGCCAGAATTACAGGCATGTGCTACCATGCCCGGCTGAGTTTTTGATTTGTTGTAGAGATGAGGTCTCGCTGCCCAGGCGGGTCTCGAACCCGCGGGCTCAGGCAATCCACTCACCTCAGCCTCCCAAAGGCGCGGGACTATAGGCTGAGCCACCAAGCCCAGATGGTAAACAATATCTCAAAGGCTTGTTATCATAATTAAAATCAATTATACACATAAACCACTCAGAAAAGTGCCTGAGACATAGTAAATATTCAAGATATGTTATCTATTATCACCACACAACTAAAAGAAGGAAGCTGGAGCTTAAAATAGGTTTTGTTTGGCTCTAAAACACATATTCTTTTCATATAAGGCTGCCATTGGCACTTTCTTATTATTAAGACTGGAGCTACACAGTTCTCAGAGTTCATTCATATGCTTCCTTTCCCCTTAAATTATCCTACCAATATTCAATTTATCTTGTTTAAAAAAAATCCCTGACCTAAAAATATATAAAATTATTTATTTAGCCAAAGGGGGGGAAATCCCTGTCCTTTTATTATTTTTTGTCTTTAAAACATAAGAGAATAATTAGAAGAAGCTGAAGTTACATTTGGCAGCTTTAAAAAAATTCAGATCATAAAGAATTGGAAATTAAAGTAAGTCATGAACAAATGGATTTCTATAAAGTTGTAGAACAGAATATCACACACACTCAGCTAATTTTGCTATGTGATGCTAGTCCTTCTCTGAAAGCTCGGGGGAAGAAAAGAGTATAATTTCTTCATGCCACAAGGAAAGAATATTTGACAGAGTCTAATGTTATCACTGTACTATTACAGGCCTTACAGAACCCTCTTCAAGCTTTTTTATTCATGTAGGTACCTTTTGAGATGGACGATAACTTGAATCAATGCCCCGAGCCAAAGATTCATCAAGCAGTGCTTTTAGCTTTTCAGCAGAATCTTTGCTCTTTGAATGTAAGAAACCCAATGCTTTCAAAAAAATGGGATCAAGTTCCAAGTTCACAGTAGCAGCCATTGCAAACACCTGAAGGAAAAAAAGAGAGAGAAGTAATTTAGAGGTAACACATAATTGTCTATGTCAAAGTTTTATTTATTTTGTTCTTTCATTTATAATAGATAACACTGTGCACATGATACAAAATTTAAAATGTCCAAAAAGTTACTGTTGATGAAAGTAAATTTCCTTCTTATTCCTTCCTGGCATTACCTAGTTCTTTTCCCCTGAAGCAACCAGCATAATCAGTTTTCTGTGTATCCATATCCATGGCAAAGTTTTAACTCCAGGTAAGCTTCTCCCTGCCACAAAGTCTCTTAACAGATCCTAGTTTTAAAAGATAAACTCATAGTTGAAGTACACAGAACTTGATGTGTTTCAGTCAGGTTTACTCTGCATCAAAATTTTTTCTCTTATTTCCATAACAATAACAAAGATTTAGTATGCATATGTTTGAGTATGCAGGAGGTGCCATAAGAAGGTAATGAAGGGTGCGTTAAGTGATGAGCTATAGAGGTCACTGCTGCCACTTTTTATCTCAATATCTGTTTTTACTCATCTCCCTAGTCCTCTACCCCATCTTGAGTGTCTCAGAAAACATATTAATAATAACCTTATTAGATCACATTTAGATTGTGGTATCTCATGCATTAACCTATCTTTAAAAAGCAAGGTCTTGGCTGGGCGTAGCCTGTAATCCCAGCACTTTGGGAGGCTTAGGCTAGTGGAATGCCTGAGCCCGTGAGTTCGAGACCAGCCTGGGCAACTTGGAGAGATCCTGTCTCTATAATAAATAAAAAAATTAGCTGGGCATGGTAGTGTGCACCTGTAGTTCTAGCTACTTGGAAGGCTGAGGTAAAAAGCTTGTGGGGCCCTGGCAGTTCGATGCTGGGGTGGCTGTGAGTGTGCCACTGTACTCCAGCCTGGACGACAGAATGAAACTCCAACTCCAACTCTAAAAAAAAGCAAAGTCTCTGAGGGATGGTCCCATATTTACTTACACACAGAGCCTAAGATGTTGTATCCTAAGATGCTTAAAAAATAGCCAAGATGGATAAAGATATACATCAAAGGCTTATTAAATTCTACAACATTAAAAAGTTTTGTTTTCAGTTAATACCAATCCTATCATGTGGTTCTACTTCTGGTTGTCACTTTTCAAATTTCTCTCCAGGCAAGAAATTATTAAATAAAAATGTATTCTTTGTGTTCAATCCTTTGATCAATATACTACATCTTGAAACCTGCTATCTTCAAGGTTAATATTATAATAATGCAACATACTTTCATTGCTATAGTTAAGGATCTGTCAGCAATTCCACAGTAATCTCTCATTTTCAGGGGTTTATAACACCATTAAAACTTGCTGTAGGTTGAATCTTGGCACATGATAGCACAATCTAAAAATGGATTTTGTCTGTTCCCTCCCCACCAATTTCCCTCCTCCCTCTCCAAGTCTGATAGGAAACTAACTCGCTCTCTCAATCTCTCCCTCCCTCCCTTTCCCTCTTCTTCTCCCTCTCCCTCTCACTACACACACACACACACACACACACACACACACACACACACACACACCCCTAGCCCTAGGCTTTTTTTTAAAGTTCCCAAGAAGTTATTAGTTATCTACCTGATAATTTGAGTACTATTGTCAAATTCTGTGCTATACTAAAATATCATTTGAATTACTCATGAGCAGGAATCCAAAGGCTAATTAGTACTAGAATGAAAAAGTAACCCTGTCTCAAACTGTTGTATTAGTAATGTAACAAATTGAGAAGCAGTCTTTGTCACTTCTTAATAGTATATTATTATATATATAATCTCTATATAATAATAAGTATCGAAAGGTTATTTTTAAATTTACTCACAGGGCTGGTCCCATGTATGTTCTGAGGAAAAAACAGCTTCTCAATAAAATTTCCATGATTAAAAGGGCAAACTTGCCACTCCTCTGAAGTGTACAAGGGTAACCCAGCAAACTTTTCTATTGATCTGATTTTATATAGCCAAAGGGAACAGCAGTTTATTTATGTAACCAGATTGTTATAAAAATAATGTTTCATTGGTTACTGACCAAAGGATTGATACTTAAAAGAATCCTTGTAATATATTAGAAAAACCATTATTTAAAATATCTATGGTGAAAAATGAAAGCAAGGTATTTACTATTATGTATTTCTATAATTACAGATAACAGGTTTATATTACAGATTAGGCGATATGAGTCAGCACCTAGATTATAAGACTCACAGAAATCATCAAGACCAACATGCCAATTGGAACTTTGGAGTCAGTTATTTTTATACAATCCCGCAATTATAAAACTTTACAGGTTTTGTACCCCTGCCCTAAACTACTAATGTGTCCTTCTAACCTAGTGGTATCTATGGTGGAATATGGAAAAAATTAAAATTTCTATTTCTTTTTAGCTAAAAATATTCATATACAGAGAGATAATAGTATTTATATGCAATTGATGATTAAACAACGTACATAGTAAAGCGTGCTTTTTTTGGTTGTTGTTTTGTTTTTACTCATGGGAAAAATGAGAAAAGCTTGGAGGCCATTGCTCTAGCATATCTAGCAACTTCCAGTTTCCTTTTTCCCTATTATACATCATAGCTTTAAGGTACAAACTACCTTTCCCTGCAAATCACTTCAGTGCTCTCATTCAGTTCATTTTCTCCTCTCTCTCCCCATTAACTTCATTGTTAGCATCCCATCATCTTCCAGCACCTGCTCATTACCAACATACTCACCTGTATGCTCCACTTTTTCCTAAAGTGTTCCTTTTCTCTTTACTTTTACTATTCTCCCCAGCAATATCACCTCCCTTACAACCGTCTCCAAAATAGTGTTCCTTTGACTTGTTCCTTCTCAAAGAGCAAAGAAAGGTCTACAGAGATCTTACTATGTATTGCTGCTTTTAGAAAAATATTCCACGATCACCATTTATCAGCACTGTCTCCTGATCCACACCTGTATAGGCACTGTTACTAATGCATAGAACATTTATACCAGGCTCACCTCTCTCCTCCCCACCTGCCATTATCCTTAACAATTTTTAGCATTTATATTGATGATTTCCAACTTTCTATACTCAGTTCATTTAAATTTCCAACCTCATGGAGCTTCATTTTCAGTCAGTAAAATCTGAAATTTGCTACAACTCTTTGACTACAATCAATTATCCTTTTTTTACTACAATCTATTTCTTCCACTGCTTGGACCCAGGAACCTCTTCAAGGTACTAAGTCAATCTTTCTTCCCTACTTATTTTTTCATTTCTCTATTACCATTCTACTTGATCTTTAAGTTTATAGAGGCCTCCAATATCCTGTCCCCTCTCCTTTCTTCTTATTGGCATATTCTTGCCCCAACTTCTCTCCCTCAGCAAATAGTAAATGAAAGTTGAGCCAAAGGTAAAACACTCAAGGTTATGTGTTTTATCTCTCATATTTTAGTCTTCTACCTTTCTTTTACTCTCTCTTTTCTATTGCCTGCTCTAATTTCTCTGTTCCTTTCTTACTTGCAAATACACATATAGCAAAAGAAATTTACTTTCTTTCTACTTAAGTTATAAAGAGTTCAGCAACTATGGTATAAGTGCATCAATCTATCTCCTTTATTATTTCCAAAGATATTTTGGAGTTATACCAAATCATGTTATTTCCATACGATTCCTTCCCTGTAAATCTAAATCCATGGCCAACATAGACCGCAAATGAGTCATACTCTTTCAACAGTTCTAGAAAATAAAGTCCTATGTGTGTATGAAACACAAATGTATATAATGAAATAAATTTAATATATTAAATATAGCCAGCTCGACTTGGATGTTGTACTGTTGCACTGAACATGTTCCCGACAGAGCCACTTACATTCTTCCCTTTCCTCCCAACTAGTTCTTCTTCCAGTATTGCCCTTTACAAATGATACGCCCCCCCATTGCTCCAGTCAGAAACCCAGGAAGCAGCTTTAACTCCTGCCACTTCCCGACCTCTCACTCCCAATTCAATCACCAAACCTCTTTAACATATTTCAACTGCAACCCTACTTTTCAGTCCTTACTGCCACCATCCTCGACCAACCTATCATCTATTGTTTGACCCACTGCAATAGCCTAATTAGTCTCCCCACAACCACTTTTGTCACTTTCCAAATCTTTTCATATTACTCACTTGCTTAAAATCCTTTGATCACTTCTCACAGTTGAAAGGTTAAAGATCAAGATCCTTATAAGGTCTCTAATGCTCTACATGATCTGGTAGTACATGCATATAAAGTAATTACCACAGTAGCTGGCACAAGGGTGTGCTCATCAGATGTTACTTAGTATCTTGGGCTATTCTCACTCTCCATTATAGCAATGTGATCTATTTCAAGTTCTCTAATACAAGCTTTTTTACTTCAGCTCTTTAGTAGAAAGTGTGCCCTCTTCTATACCCTATCTTACTCATCCTTCAAATCTGTTTGTTTCTGCATATTCTCTCAACAAAATTAGAATTCTTACTGTTATAGGGTACAAAAGCATTCCGTATTTATTCATAAGATTCAGTGCACTGTCAATTATGTAAATAATAATTATTTCTTATTAGAATATAAGTTCCAAGAGGGCAGGCACTGATTTTACCTATTGCTGCAACTCCTATTTCCAGAGTTCATGGCAAACAGCAGGTAACAGTAAATGTTGGTCAAGTAAACACCTACTTCCTCTTTCATAAAACTTTCTCCTCCCTTGAGTTCTGTTATATTCAACATTTCTGGTTTTCCTCTTCTATCCCTGACTACTCTTTCTCTGGCTCATCTTCTCATCTTTGTTGTTCACTGTATTAACCAAGTATGTATCCTTGGCTATCGTCTTAGTTTTGTTATCATTTTCTTCCTAGGTAATCTTACACACGTCATGTTTTCAACTATAAACTCTTGGCATATGATTTTATATGTTTTACACCCCCCCCCCCAATCTCTCTTAAGCTTAAATCTCACATTTCCAAATACTTAGTAGACATGTCTACCTGGTGACCCTAATCAAATTCAGTTATACCTAAACTTCAGATCATGACCACCTCCCCGCAAAGTTCCCTAATTTGCTCTTGCTTTCAATAAATGACACATTTTCTGTTACTCAGGTCTGAGACCTGAGGAGTCAGAGCTCCTTCACTAGGAGTACTTAGTTCCTTCACTAAGTAGTCCTTCCCTACTCCTTATACCCAAATAATCAGCAGGCCTTTCCTAAGGATTCTGACTGTAATATTTTTCACATTTGTCTCATTTTTCACTTCCACTGCTTCTATTCAAATTCAAGTTTTTATTAGCTCACTTAAATTTTAGCAATAATCTAGTTATTCTCAACTTTAATATTGTTGCCATATTAATTTTCCTGAAACACAGCTTTCTTCTCTTTCATTGCTCCCCCCCCCTCCACTTGTGGAAAAAAACTTTCTTGCTGAAAAATTAAGGCTTCCCACCACCTTCAAAATAAACCCCAAATTTTGTGGCCTAGAACAGAGATACCCAAACCCTAGGCCACAGACTCACACCAGTCCATGGTCTGGCTGTACAGTAAGAAGTGAGTAGCCGGCAAGAGAGAGAAGCTTCAGCCTATTTATAGCCACTCCCTATCACTTGCATTACCACCTGAGCTCTGACTCCTATCAGATCAGTCACAGCATTAGACTTTCAGAGAAGTGCAAACCCTACTGTGAACTGTGCATGCAAGGGATCTAGGTTGTGTGCTCCTTATGAGGATCTAATGCCTAACATTAGCAGTGAGGTTTGACTGTCCATAGTAAATAATAAATCAACTGATTGTAGACTCATATCAAAACTCTATTAGTGAGTGGCAAGTGAGTTGATGTACTTCAGTTGTACATCTGTATCTGGTAACGGGCTTTAAGTCAGAATCTGACACTTTAGTCCACGTGTGGCCCACCCATTATTTTAACCACTTCTGTTTGTTCCTCTTTTTTTTTCTTATGGGTGAGCTGCATAATTATTTCATTAGATATTACAATGTAATAATAACAGAAAAAAGTGCACAATAAATGTTATGCTCTTGGATCATCCTGAAATCCCCATCCTTCCCTCCCCCGACTGGTGGAAAATTTGTCTTCCACAAAACTGATCCCTGATGCCAAAAACGTCGGGGGCCACTGACCTAGAATTTGTCATGCCCAGATATTTCTTAAAGCAAAGTCATTAGCTGGTCTTGTGACTTATTTTTTTTTCTGTCTGTGAAACTCTTTACTCATTTTTATATTTCCAAATCCTGTTAAAACCCAGTTCAAATACTATTTCTCATTAAGACTTTACTGATAGCTGCTGTGCTCTTCTTCACCCCAAATCTTATGATAATATCTCCTCCTATGATATCTCATAGTGCTTTTTCATGGTACTGGAACTTTCTACCTCAAGCCATATTCTTTTTTTTTTTTTTTTAGCAAAAGTGTTATGTTCCCTATAAAATTCTGAGTACTTTAAGAGTCTATATCTTTTTGCCTGACTCTTTGCTATTTTGCAAAGTACCACAAAATAATGGCTATAGAATTATTGGATTAAATGATCAAAATACAGTGGTCTTGTCTCTCCTTCTACACAAGTCTAACCACTTCTAAGTTCCCTTCAGCAAAAAGCTCAAAAGAAACTCACCACTTCCCTCCCTGCAACAAATAGCAAACATCAGAAAAAATAAAAGCAAAAGCAAAGCAAGACAAAAATCACATGTTTCATGACTGAGGACTTAAAGCACAATGTTCCTATCTGCAATATTCTCTTCCTAATTCTTCACCTGGCTTAAATTCATTAATTGCCCTAGACTGTAACCTCCATGAGAGCAGGACTTGTTTTGCTGCTATTTCCTTCCTTAAGTGCTTGGAATTGAACATGTGCTCAAAAATATTTATTGAAAGAATAAACTAGATTTTTTGCATAACCGCCACTTTTTAGGGCTTCTCTAATCTCTTTAACGTAAATTGAGCACTCATAAATACAAATGCTTTCCTCTAGATCCGTTTTCCACTCTAAGTGCCAATCTCAAAAAAAAAAGTTCAAAGTTGATCATCTGCACGTGACTGAAACGAAGGAAGTTGAATCTATTAACGCAGTGTGCATTTCAAAACGGCTCAGGAAAACTCAGTCTTGCATATCTTTGCAAACCCTTCCTATAAACATTCTTTCAAAAACACTGCCCTTTTCATTTCTTCATTGAGTTCTTGGTTCTGGAATACATCGATATCTTAGGGACACTTGGAAACGCAGGGCAGGAGAGAAGGCCCGGATTCCAAACCAATCAAATGGTACAGCAGACATTTAGAAAGGGAATGCCAATCCTTTGATTAAAGCAAGACATACCGAAGGCCTATCATTAGGGGAGGGTCTTGACAAGGAAGCCAGAAGATGAGGCACGGAATGTGGGAGCTGTGCAGAGAAGTTACCAAAACCCTCTGACAAAGGTCCAAGACAGGGTTCCAAGTTCCTAGACCAAGGACTGTCCTCAGTCCGCGTGCCCCAGTGCGCAACACCCTCGGAGAAAGCACAGTTCGCCTCACTGAAAGGGGAGAATGGTCAGGCTGGGGCACGCAACCGCCCGCAAATTACAAGATTTTCCCTCAAGGAGCGAGGAGATTTCTCGCCCCTCGCGGGGTTTCTCGAGCCACCCAGAGGCGGCTGGGAGCGGGGTCGCTCGTCACAACTCACCGCTCCGCCCCGCCGCTCGGTCCGTTCCCGGTGGTACTTTCCGAACGAGTCCCCGCACCACCCGGCTCCGAAAACTGGAAAACAAAGGTTCCCGGAGCAGGGCCGGAGGGGAAATGTTTGGCAGTGCGACTGCAGGAAGTGACCTAACTTCCCTTTTTCCGGTCCGCCGGATTATGAATGACGGCCGGCGCGAGTATTTTCCAAACGAACTGCCTGTTGTTTCTCCGGGCCTAGGTCTGGAAGCGAGTGAGCAGTGGGCAGTGGCTCGCAGAAACAGCCTCGGAATTTCAGCTCAGGCTGGGCGGGAAGGCGAAGGCGGCCGGAGTCCCCGACACGCTCACGCACCCTCCCTGCCTGGCCGCGCCTCTGCGACCAGGTAAAGAGGGCGCTCGGGCCGCCGGCTTCTCAGCTCCTGCGACCCACCAATGACTGCTCTCTGCTTGAGGAGTCAACAGGGCTGAGGGTGCGGTGGGAAGGGCGAGGGCGTGGAGTCTTTGTTCTGATCTCCCTCTAGCCCTGGGGCCTACTCAGCCTGCTTTTTGGGTCACAGATCCTTGAAGATGCGGGCTGAGGACTCGGGGCTCCTCGTTGTACCAGTTTCCCAGTGTTCCCCGAGCCAGTCCCTCATGTCTTCCTCTGCTAATGGAGGAATGGAGCAGCTCCCAGTGATAGGGGTTGGTCGGGGTCGTGTGCTGTTAAGTGTAATTTCAGGACCTCTTGCATCACACTTTCATTTCCCCCCCGTCCCTCTTTAGCACTTAGTTTTTCATTCTAGCCCTTGCTGATTGGAGAAAGCAGTTGTATATGAATACTACTTAACGGTTACTCCAAAGGACTTGTTTCATTTGGGGCCGTTTGCTTAGGTTACATCATCAAAGCGGTGTTTTTCTTCGGGTTTTAACTTCTCTAGAAAGTCGGAGTTTAACATGCAGGAAAGTTGCTTTGTCTTCAGAAACGTTTGCTAATACACATAGGTTCCTTCACAACTCTCTCTCCCTGGTTTTGGGTTTCGGCAACTTATTTTTTTCCCAAATTTCTCTTAACGCCAGGATCCCATTCCTTGTCATCAATTCTGAACATCAAGAAAAAATGCCGGCTTTAATATGTCTTGTGCTAATTTATGGATAAATAAAGTGGTGTGCTTCAATTTTTTTCTAAACTTATGTAGAAACAATGTTTACAAGAGAAAATACAAAAGCTAGCAAGAACTAGTGATGTGACAGTTTTAAACATGGTCATTTAAATACTATGAAAATAAACTGTTTTAATAGCACTACAACTGACTGATTTGCTGTCATATTTAATAAACATTAAACTGTGTGGGTTATTAAAAACTGCCTGATGCATACACTACTGAGAGGATTGCTTTAAGCATACTCATTACTTGTAATTGTGTTTGGGTTATACCTCAGGCCATCATTTTATGAGGTCTAACTTCAAAAATAAGACTGAAAAAGTCAATGATATTTCAGAATCGTTTCATCAGTTTTATTTATTTATTTATATACACTTTTGTGTGTTTACTTGGCTGAAACTTGAATTTCTGCAGTAGTGGGCCCAAGTTTTTTTGTGTTATTTTTAGTAAGTGTTTTACTTTGTGGCTTTTGTATCATTACCTGGGTTTTTAAAATAAGAACAAATATTGAGTATGCAAATAGCCTTTCTAATATTAAGCTACAGTTTAACAGACTTAGAAACTCACAAATTCTGGATCTAGCCAATTAACACATCTGTAGTATACACAGTTCCCTAGTTTTTATCCTCAAATATTTAAAGTAGCCTACAGAATTCTGCTAAATTAGTACTTGGATGTAGGGATTTAAACAATTTAAATCATTACAAGTACTGGTATTGTTTGCTGTGATAATTCAGTCATTTTATTTCAAGCTTGCTGATATTAATTTCTGACATGTTAACCTTTCATGCTGTGAATGCCTGTTAATTATGAGGTCACAATAGGAAATTTGAGTTTTGTTCTAAGTGTCCTTGGGAGCCCCCACGTTTTTGAAGGATCACTCTGATTATTGTTGGAGAATAGACTGTTGTGTGGAAAGTAGAGAAAAATAGTTAACAGACTTTTGCAGTAGTCCTTGTAAGCGCTCATGATGACTTCGATTAAAGTGATGGTGATAGAGGTTCTAGGGATTAGTATATTTTTCAAAGGTAGAGATGGCAGAGTATGAAAAAGAGGGGGGAGTTCAGTGAGACTTCAGAGTTTTTGGCCTGAGCATCTAGATGAATGGGTGTTGTCATTTTACCAAGAAGAGGGGAGCACTAAGGGAAGGGAATGAGTGTAGATTGAGAAGAGGGCAAAGCATGGAGCCATGAGCCACTGTGAAGTATCCAGTAAAAGAATCAAGAAGGGACTGCCAAAGAAGTTACGTGCTGAGACTTGTCAAATAACCCAGCCTTCAGGATGGAAGTTTTCATCAAGGATTACTAAGTCTAGCATACTTGCTTAGAATAACATAATTCCTGATAATATTCACTTTGGTAAAGTTGTTGCTGTAATACGATTCTAATATGTTTCAGTTGATGAAATTGTAAGTTTATAAAATTCTACTATTTATGTGAGAAAAATACCTATTCCCGAATGTTTAAAAATAAGATCCATTCAATTAATATTTTTGGACTGTATAATTTTCATCCATATAATGGAAATAAAATGTACTTTTAAGGATTGTGAGGATTAGAAATAATGCACAAGTTCTGTGTGCTCAGTACATAGTAGGAAGACATTCAAATGTATGTAATATTTACAATTCTTATTTACCTAACGGTTGAATTCTAGGTATAGAAAGAACTTATTTGAAAAAAAACTCAAATTATTGGTTAATGATTTGCAGTAGTTATGCATTTTTGGGTCTTTATTAGAAATCTATAATTTATCTATTATATAATATACATAATGCGATATTTTTTTACCTGAATTTTTTGCACAAAACTTCCAAATTTTTTTCTTAATTGTATGGCTTAATTTTTTAATACATTTACTGTTGCCCTCATATTCTCTCTCTCTCTCTCAACACACACATACATGCATGGAGTAAAGTAGCACAATGGTTTTGTATTAAAACACTTCTGGAGCTCATTCCCTTTTCATATGCCCTTTTCATATGTGAAATATTTTAATTTATCAAAGCTGAAATATATTCATTAGAAAGAGAATGCAAGAAAGGTCTAAATGTCTACAAATGAAAAAAAATTGAAGATTCTCTGGCAATGAAGCAGATTTTTTCTTTTTTTTTTAACCCATTTATTCCTTCTTTAAGATTCCCAAGCAAATTGGCATGGGAAGGAGAGAGAGACACACTGTATTAGCTCCATTCAGCTCCTAAAGTTTGTGGTTTTGTCTGCTGCCTTCTCACTCCCTCTCAGCAGTGTGACATCTGTCAAAGCTGAGAAAGAGCAAATGATACTACTTATGTGCTTGGGAGGAATGTAATATGGAGTAACATGAGCTGTGCCCCCAGAAGCCCTAGAGAATGGAAGTTGAGTCTATGGTACCTACCTTCTTAAAGTTTATGACATAAAATTAATGAACTAAGGCATTCTCAGACTAGAAAAGGAGAAGATAAAAAGAGGAGAGGTTGCTTTTGCCTATGGTATTTGCAAACTTTGAGCAAAAACTATGTTCTCTTAAAAAAATTAAGACATAGTGCAAGCCAAAAACCACATTTGTACAAGTTTACTAAATATTTAATATTTATTTGGAAAATTACATTAGTACAAAATGGGGAGAAATTGCCCAGGGAGAGTAATTAAGTAACAAGATCATTAAATAACAATTTAATCTCCTAGGACAAAACACCAACATCTGCACTGGGAGAAAAAATATGTTAAGAATCAACAGTAGTTTGCATTTTCTCTCAGGCATCTCATTAATTTTTAGATATCACCATGGGCAGGTTGTTGCTATTCTATTTTGTTGACATTTAGCATTTATTCAGTGCTAACAGTGGGAGGAGTTTATAAAATATGTGTAAAAACCTATTTTCATGATTCTTATGTGCTTTGGAAAGTGGCAAATATAGATGTACTCTAAATTTTTCTTCATATCTTAAGTCTAAAGCTGTAAAAGAGCATGGCATTGGTTCCAGTTTTTAAAAAAGTGTTAGTAGGACTAGTCTCATAATTACTATTTTTTAGACAGCTGGGCAAATGAGGAAATCTGCCCTCTTGAAGTACTTGGAGGTCTTCTTTATATAGTATCTTACTGTCAGGAGAGTGAGTCAAGAGGATTGAGAAATTAATCAATAGATTTTCTAGGGCAACCTCCTCAAAGAGGCAATCAATTCCTAGAAAGTGTGGTTGGTTCTTTTTGCCTTAATATTGCTATAGACCTCACTTTGGCTTTTCTTTGGAACTATAGCATAAAGGTGTTATATTAACAATGAAAATATTTCAAGCATTCTATTCAACTTTGTAAAAAGTAAGAAAATACTTTGTGAATTTCAAACTTTAATAAATACCCTTTAGTATTTTGTTTTAAAATCAACTCTAGATGCCAAACAAGAGTCAAAAAGCTCAGGAAGAAAATGGTATTTGTGGGTAAAAAAGTTGTTGCTTTTAAATTACATAAAATAGTTTCTCCCTGAGTAATCTTTTAAAGAAGTAATAAATAACAATGCATATATATTATGTTTTCATAAAAGAAATACAAAGCAGTAGTGATTATTTCCATTATCAAGGAACTTTTTAAGATGGGATTTTACTAACTTTACTCTTGTTGCAATGGATAATAGATTATAGGCTCTTCAATTTAAAAAAGAACCACAAAACGTAAAGAGTGTTTGACTTTGCTTTTAGCAACAGTAAAGGAATTTAGAATATTAAAGAAAATTTAACTGGGCTGGGTAGCATTGCCTATAATCCCAACATTTTGGAAGGCAAGACAGGAGGATTGCTTGAGCCCAGGAGTTCTGAGACTAGACTAGGCAATGCACAGGAAGACCTGTTCTCGACAAAAAACTCTAAAATTTTAGCCAGGAGAGATGACTCATGCCTGTAGTCCCAGCTACTTAGGAAGCAGAGGTAGGAGGACTGCTTGAGTCCAAGAGGTCAAGACTGCAGTGAATTGTGATCGTGATCATGATTGTGCCACTGTACTTCATTCAGCCAGAGTGTTGACAGAGTGAGACCCTGTCTCAAAAAAAAAAAAAAAAAAGAGTACAAAATTTAGTATGTTGAAGATTCCCTAAAATTAAGGGTACACTAACATTTCAAATCCACTTAAACGACAGAGTTGTACGTTTACTTTAAAAAAGATTTTAAAACAATTTTTCCTCTAATACGCTATCTTCCTATTACAATTCCATTGTGAATGCTTTTAAAGAGTGCCATCTAGTGTCAGTTTGGGAATTGTGATTTATCGATTAAATCATTAGGAATTTTGGACCAAAGAAATGTATGAATCAAACAAAAAGTCATGATAATTGATAAAAACCTTAAGGAATATGGCTTGAAAATGCTTGTCAATAAATGGACCTCAAGACTGTGTGTGTTTGCAACTTTAAAATAACCAGTGTGTGTATTCATTTTTCTGTTTGTCAAATACTTGCTTATTACATAAATACATAAAGCAGTGAACAAAAGATTTTTTACTTTCATGGAACATTCTAATTGGGGGAGATAAATATGTAGTATGTTACCCTAATAATAAGTGCTATGGAGAAAAGTAAAGTGTAAGAGGGAATAGAGAGGGTTTTTTTTCAGGTACAATAGGAGTTGGTACTTGCAAATTAGCTTGAGTAACCAGGAAAAGTCTCAGAAGCTGCCACTGAGTAAATACCTGAAGGAAATGAGGCAGTGTTCTAGGTATTGGAAACATCAAGTTCAAACACTCTAAAGTAGGAATGTACCTAGTGTTTCAGAAGAATAACAATCTACTTTGGCTGGAGCAGTGAGCAATGAAGAGGGTTAGTAAGATGAACTCAAGGACATAAACGGAAGATTAGATCAAGGATATCTTTGTAGACCATTGTAGAAACTGAGTTTTCTCTGAGTTAGGATGGGAAGAGGTGGGAGGATTTGAAATGAGTAGTGGGATGATATTACTTCATTTTTAGCAGCATCACTTTGACTACTGTAATGAGATATAGATGAGTGGGAGGTAAAACCGGAAGCAGTCTGTTGCTGTAATTCTGAAGAGGTGATGATGGCTTGGATCACAGTAGAAGCAATGGAAATGTTGTGAAATCATCAGACTCTTGATATGCTTTGAAGATCGAGCCAAAATAAGTTTTTAATGGATTGGTTATGGGGTGTGAAAGTAATTAAGAATTACTCCAGGTTTTTGGCTTGAGCAACTTTTTAGAAAGGATGATGTTCCAGATGTTCCATTAACTGACATGCAGAAGACACGTGAGGAGTAGATTTAGGGTGTGGGAGAGAATAAGGAACTATAGTTTGGACATGATAACTTTGAGGTAACTCAGCTGTCAACATCTAAGTTATGGGAAAATTAAAATATTTTTGTATGATGATACATAGACTCACCAGCTCATTGCTTGCTTTAGGAGAATCCATTTCTCATGAAGAAATGAATATGCCCTCTCTATTTATTGTAAAGTCACAAAACAGAAGCAGTATGGAAGGACCAGCATTGTCAAAATTTCTCAAGGCTATTATCCCCAAACAGCTCGCAGTATTCTTGGTTGATTTCTTATTTCCTGTACTATTTATCTCCTATTCTCACCTACAGTGAGACCCCAGAGGACTTAAATGGAGGTTTCTATTGCAAAGCACTAAAGTATGCTCATTTTAAAGGAGCTGAGTGTTAAATTTCCCCAAAGTCTAGTTATTTAAACAGATTGGAATTTTTTCTTTTGGAAACCATTTTGTCAGTTTTCAGGACCAAATTCTTATAAACATCGTTATCTATCAATTTTTTTTACTAATTTCTTGAACAGGGTTTTAAAACATTCTTTTTTTTTTTTTTAGTTTCTAAATTATTATATTTTAAGGCCTATAATCACTTCATTTTATGCTTTAGGTGACCCAATGAAAGAAGAAAATGAAAGCCTTAAAGAAAAGTCTTACAGAACAAGAATATCTATACCTGGACTTTTCTCACCAAACAGAAGGATCTATCTTTCCTCTTCATACATCTGTAACTTTATTTTTGTTATCATACTGTGACTGCAAAATATTTAAAGTTTGCTTAGTTCTCACCAAAGAAAGTACAGATAGTTCACTAAGAGATGTACTAACCCAGGATGTTGAAATACAATTTATTTCAAAGCAAGAGCTTCCACCAATAGTCCAGAATTGCTGTTTACCTGCGGTAGTAGAACGACCAGACAACTTTTGTAGAGCAGGACTTGCTGTTGTACTAAGACATATAATCCAGAAATCATATGAAGCAGATCCCACAAAAAAGGAAATTTTGGAACTTCTTGGTTTTAAAAAGACTTGCTTGAAAGCCTGTGCTGAAGTAAGTATAATGTCTCTTTTCTGCTATTTCAAGCCACAAAGGAATACATATTTACCTGAACCCATTTTAACTTCCTGTTAGGAATAAGAATTCATTTATTTAACCAGTGAAATAGTTAAAATAGCCCTTCATGTGTGCCAATATTTCAGTGCAGTTTTGAAAAATAAGAATTTAAGATTTAATTTATGAAGTTTAAAGACTTTTTAGAGAATAACTCCTCTTTTTTATTCTTTATTTTTGTTTCATTGAGGATTTTTTTTTTTTTTTTTTTTGAGTTAGAGTCTCACTTTTGTCACCCAGGCTGGAGTGCAGTGGCACGCTACTGGTCACTGCATCCTCAACCTGCTGGGCTTAGGCACTTCTTCCACCTCAGCCTTCCAGGTAGCTGCCACCACGCCCCTGCTAGTTTGTGTGTGTGTGTGATTTATTGTAGAGACGGGGGTCTCACCAAGTTGCCCAGGCTGGTCTCGAACCCCTGGGCTCAGGCAATCCTCTCGCTTTGGCCTCCCAAAATGCTGGGATTACAGGCTGAGCTCATTGAGGATTTTTAAGGGGAATGTTTACATATAAGAAGTTCAAATAGCAAAACTTTGGAAGCCCTGCTTATTTTGGCAGGGATAGACTAAGGAAGGTATATTTTAAAGGCTTTTTTATTCAGTAAGAGGAGGGAACAGGAACGCTAAACCTCCATTGCTTAATGTTTTTACTTCTGAAGCACTGTAAAATGTCTCTTGAAGTAGCATAAAAACCTAGCCCAGGGATGGTTTAGCCCATGACTTTTTTCCCAATAAGACAATTATTTTTATTCAAGGTATGTGGAAAGTAAATAATTGTTTCATTTCTTTTTTTGGTTTTGTTTCGTAGGTTAGTCAATGGACCAGGTTATGTGAACTCACCATTCCTTTGGCTATTGAGAATTTTCTCAGAGAGTCTTCTGACCAGCTCCCAACTATCCCTGTAGAAATACTACAGCTAGAGAAAAAGCTTAATGAGCCTGTTAGAGTGCATAATGATGATAAACTCCGCAGGCAGAAGCTGAAACAACAGAAGGCCACTGGCATTGGGCCTCCCTTTACTAAAGGAAAAGCAAAGAGCAAGGTCTCTACACAGGAAACATCTGAAGAGTTCGACTGTTCATCCAAGAATCTGGAACTGAAAGTGGCATTCTCAAAGCTCACAGTGCAGGAAGAACCAGCTACTACCAACAGGGAACCTTCTCACATCAGAAAAGCCAAAGTATCTGACCTTCCACCTCTGGAGCATGTGTTTGCAGAAGGGCTTTACTTCACTTTGGCGGATATTGTGCTCTTGCCCTGTATCCATCATTTTTTGGTAAGTTTTCTATCTGAACTGTATACATTACTGTGAGTTTCAGCCTATGAAATTGTCTATGTTTGAATTCCAATTCCACTTCTTACTATCATTATGCTCCTAGACAAATTATTAATATGTCTCCATTTTCTTATCTGTAAAATAGAGATAATAATAGTACCTGTATAATAGGATTAGAGGAACAAATGAAAATTTGTGTGAAGTATGGAGAACAGGGCTTGGCACACAGAATGCTCAAATGTTAGTAATTTATTATGATTAATTTTGAGTTGCTAAAATATTAGCAATTGTTATTATTAATTTTAAATTGCTGCTGTGATTAATTTCTAATATTAGAGGGTCAGGTATATTAAAAAACCTAAAAAATAACAAATCTTCTCTGCTATATTTTATAATTACTAATCACTTTAAATATTAATCTCATGTTAGGTATTATCAAATCAGAAGTATTTTATTCTCAGCTGTGTGTGTCTTTGTTCTCGATAAGATTAAAGTTGCTGGCTATACTATTGTATGCTGTGGGAGAAATAGATGGAAAGTTTTCTGGATAGGGAGATCTCTTGATTTCTGTGTGTGTGTGTGCATGTGTGTGTGTGTGTGTAGTGTTTTGGATTGATTTTTATTATATATATGTATTGATTGCACGTGCATATTGATTGTGTGTGCATATATATGAAGTGCCAAGAAAAGTATACACATTTTAAGAAAGGAAAAACTGTATTAAAACTGTAATGCTCAATATATACTGATGATAAAAGATGAATACAAGTCACATTTAACTTCTGCAATTACAAGAAGTGCTCAAAGTAGTTACCATCAGCGTCCAGACACTTCTGATTACAGTGAACTAAAAGTAATACATAGATGACATCTCTTAAAGTGTGAATTTTTTTTTGGCACCCTGGTATATATAGTGTTTTCCATTGATTTTATATATACTATATTTCCTTTATGGGGGATAAAGAACAGAGTGAAAATAATATCAGAGTGAACATGGGAAACTTAGCTCTGCATCCTTCCAATTGGTTTTAAAGAGCTTCATTTTTGCTTTGAAATATTTCACCTTTTCCCTACTAAGGAATTAGATATCAGATTTCATTCTCATTATATATCACCAACACTTCAGGTATCTCTACTGACAGATGAGAAGAGACATTTAATGAAAATCTATATATTTGGAGGTCAGGGCTTCACTAATAAATTAGGTAGTATTGATCAATTTTCTTAAAGAACATTTCTCTTTTCCTCAAAATTGAAACAAGACAAGATTGGCAACAAAGACAATGTAAAGAAAAAAAGAGAGAGAGAGAGAGATTCAGGAATTGTTTAGATGTGGATCGGAATTTTAAATGTCAAGTGTCATATTTATTCATAGTGTTCACAAAACTGATTGGGGAGAAGACACTGATTTTTAAATTTTTTCCTAGTCAAATGATTTCTAGACTGTCTTATCCCTGACCCCTCCCTTCTATTACCAACAAGTCATTAGAGCAGTCATTTGATGAATTTTTAATACTTGTTCTTCTTGGCTTTTTTGATAGCTATGTGTATAATTTTATAAGAATTTAAAGTGGCACATCTACTCACTCATTGGAGAAATTTATTGAAAGCCTGCTATATTGTCAGCCACTGGCATAGGCACTAGGAAAACAGTGATGAATAAGACAAATAAACTCCCAGCCCTCATGGTGTTAATATTTCGGTAGTGGAAGATATAAATGAACAAGTAAACAAATAAATAATATTTATATAAAATAATGGTAAGTGCTACAAAGAAAATAAAATAAGCTGATGAAAAAAACTTGAGTGTTTAATTTCAAACTCAACAAAAAATTGGATTCACCTGCATTAAGATGATTGTTTAGGTCGTTATTCAGAGGACCAGCTTCTTTTCAGCTGTTTTGCATCTGGTTTTAGCTGAATTTAAATACTATTTACATGATTAGGATTAATTGAGGCCAAAGTATTCCTCATTGAGAGGAGACTTTCCCCCTTGAATCAGGTTGGACATCTACCTCATTGCCACATACTGAGTAAATCTATCTAATAATACTGAGAAACTTTGTTTTATCTCAGTTTATAATGAGGGAAAGCCTGTATACTTAGTCTATTCTATTTCATGTATCATATAAAGTCCAATAAGTATTAAGTTTTTTTATATAATATGTAAATTACTTCTCAATATATTTTTCTTTGTATTTTTCCTGGATCTACACATTTTCTTTTGAGAATTCATCTTTCTTTGCCAAAGGCTTGATGTTATTTGTTATATTTTTCTCCTTTAGGTCATCTTGAGTAAGGAAGCATTTTAGTTCATGCAGTGGCTATGTTGCCAAGCCGTTGGGCTTGCATTAACACACACTGAGGTGAATAGAGTAGCAGTATAAATGATCACAATCAGGATCAAGTTCACAATGAGTAATCAAGGTCAAGTTACTAGGTTTGGTTCAGAAGCATATAAAACTGAACCTATAAGCAGACTATTTAGCCACAGGAATTAGGTCAATGGCATAAAAGGACAGAGTCAATTCTGCTAACATTAGGACTAGGGAAAATATCCAGTTCTACAAAACAGAATAAAGCAAAGGATGCAAGACGTGTAGAGTGGCTGAGGTGTTATGTCTAAAGCAGCTTCAAACTGTTCCTTTTCAGTAGATGCTGTATTACTTTGTAAAATTAGCCCCTGATGGCCCAGGACCTCTTCATGGAAGGGGCCTAAAGATACCTTCTCCTCTGAAAAGTTTTAGAAACAGATTTAAAAGGAATAAATTAATAAATAAAAACATTTTCCCCCTCTTTTGTTTGCTAGAATCTTCTAGTAGATAATATATCAAGCATATGGGAGAAGTAGCAATGAATTGTTCTACTAGGGAAAAATGCTGCTGCTCTGATACCACAAAAGTGTGTTATTTTTTCCATTGCTACTAGTAAACAGGCACACTTTAGAACTACTTAAAAGATTATTCTACTCCTATAAAACAGATTGCCATTTTATAAAATCTTTTTGTAATTTGAATATTTCTACATTTTAACTTCTTTTTTTTTTTGAGTTGGAGTCTCATTCTGTCGCCCAGACGAGTGCAGTGGCCGCTCCCGGCCACCGCAGCCTCCATCTGCTAGGCTCCGGCGATCCTTCCGCTTCAGCCTTCCGAGTAGCCGGAATTACAGGCACGCGCTACCAAGCCCGGCTAATTTTTTTATTTTATTGTAGAGATGAGGTCTCACCTGCCCAGGCGGGTCCCAAACCCGTGGGCTCAGGCAATCCACTCACCTCAGCCTCCCAAAGGCGCGAAACCTGTGGGCTCAGGCAATCCACTCACCTCAGCCTCCCAAAGGCGCGGGATTACAGGCCGAGCCGCCAACCCCGGCTTACATTTTAACTTCTAATGCTTTGAATTGAATGTTTAAAAAAAATACACATCTTTATTAGCTAAAGTAAAATAGTTTCACTTTTAGAAATTGATTAAACACCTTTTTTAGTGTCTCCATTGACATAAAATTGGGAATAAAATAGGGATCTCACTATTTGCTGGCATATTGTAAAAATGATGGATGCCACTTATTTAGTAGTAAATTTGTATTTTCTATGTCCTCTCCTATGCATTAGGTCGAGTTTTTAGGTTTCACCCACTAGTTCTAATTTGTAAGTAAAAAAAATAGAGAACTAGGATTATATTTCCATTTAGATAGGTTGTTTTCTGTTTTTTCCCTGTTTATATTGTTCTCCTAAACATCTGTGTGTTATGACATGTATTCGAAAAAGTAGGCATGACTAAGGAAATAAGAAATAATAAGGACATACTATTTTATGTAATAGTGACTGGAAAGGAATGCAGAGGAGGAATATTTTGGATAATTGTAACATCTTGCTACTCTTTTTATTCAGACAAATATTTCTGCTCCTCATCACAATTAACGGCAAAGTCACTAGGATTTTATGTTGTGCTTTGGTAGCAATAAATTTTTCCCCATTGTTTTAAGAATAAATTATGTTTATTTTCTTATCCTTGAAGAACTTTGTGATATTTATAATGTCTTTGATCTTATGAGAAGGTGACTTTTTTTTGGTAATTATTTCTCTGGAAGAAAATTAATTTTTATTTCACACAGTTTTTATTAGCCACTTCCTTAAATATATTTTCTTGAGTATAGTGAATGTGTTCAGCTCCTCCTGAGCTATCTGAATGTTAGAGTGTCCTGGCTAAATGGTGTGATTTGTCATGTAGAGTAAAACTCTTCAATTTCTTTTAAACATGAATTATTGTTATATAATCACAACTTATTTTCAAAAGGAAGGAAAGATGACATAAGCATCAAACAAATAAGAATAACTAAAAAGGAGAGGGAATGTGAAGAAAAGAGTATTTCTGATTTGATTAATTTATCATTTCTTAAGTTCAGTTCCCTTAGTACCTAATCTATTTCTAGACAATTAAGAATTTTGGAGAGAATTATAAACTTTTTGGGTCCCAAGAATCATGTAGACAGTGTTTTTTAATCTTTTTAACTTTAACTCACAGTAAATACAGTCGCCCTCCATGTCTGTAGATTCTACTTCCATGCATGCAACCAACCACAGATTGAAAATATTTGGAAAGAATAATTGCACTGTCCTGAACATGTATATATTCGAGAGGATGTTCATAGGTTATAAGCAAATACTAACCCATTTTATATCAAGGACTTGAGTATTCACAGATTTTGGACCCAATACCCATGGATCCTGAGAGATGACTATAATATATTTTACAAAGTGAATAAGTATATAAATAAATGTACATCTTTATACTATATACAGAAAACTTATTACATAATACATACTCTGATATTTTCCGTTTCATTTTTTAAATGCATACATTGTTGATTTTACAACCTCCTAATGTGTCATAAAAAGCAGTCTGAAACTACTAATTTAGGGGCTTATTCTCTGAAGGTATTAAATGGATTCTTGAACATTTGTTCATTTACTCAACAGAATATTATTTGCAAGATAGTATTTA